TGGGAGCCAGAATTCTTGCTGGTTGGTAGGGGATCAAATACTTATTTCACTCACTGAAATGCAAATCAATTTCTAACCTTTATATAATGTGTTTTCTTGGATTTTTTTGGTTGATATTCTGTATCTATCTGTTAAAATAAACCTACCATAAAAAAATACAGACCCTTCATTTCTTTGTAAGTGGGCAAACTTACAAAATCAGCAGGGGATCAAATAAATATTTCCCCCACTGTATGTTTATTTTTGTAGAATGGTCCTTTGTGCTATCATCCACACATGCAAAGTTGGTTGATAACATAACTGCAATAAATAATAGTCTAGTTAACAATTACTTGTTTACATAGGATACATAATGTATGTTATATTATTTAGGCACTTATAGGCTATAGTTTGACAATGTTCTATTTCAACATGCCATGGGAAGTCAATCTAACTTAACATTTTCTCATATTAATACTGTTTATTTATTCCTTACCAGTTCATCAGGTTTTTAATGATTTAATGCCATCTCTTGGAATAACCGAAGGCCAGGTTTTTCCATCGCTAGCATTTGTTATGAAAAACAACCACCTGCACATTTAGAAACAATAGCTACAAAATACCACCGTAATATAAATATATAGGGAAAAAAATCTATTCCCTCAACAGATTATATATTATAAATTCTACAAGTTAGACTAAATTTACCACAATAAATAAGCCTACAATAAAATATGATAAATTCTAGTAAAGGTGGTCATGAGTAGGTTAAAAAGATTTGAGTATATGTCAGTGCTGGTGCAAGATTGTTTTTTCATGTTTTCATCAGTCTTTTTAGTTTATGTGCCTTTTAGATAATATTCGACTTTCTTCATAGCATTTTAAAGTGCCAATTTCTCAATATAATTCAAACAGATCGCACATCAGCTTCATGGAACGACTTGCACAAATCTTATCACACTCCTCGAGTGCAGATGAACGCGTGCAGAGTGTACAGTGATTCACGTGCAGCTCGTGCACAAACTGCGCTTCAGTCATATTGTGCTGATAACTGTTCAGGGGTGCGTTTCCCAAAAGCAACTATGGTCGCAAATTCCGTCATTACCAATAGAGTTCAATGGAACGAACCACCATAGTTAGCTAACGATGCTTTTGGGAAACGCACCCCAGTTCGGTTAGTACGTGAAGTTAACACTTATAAAAGCACTAAAGGCGCGATTTAAATAATGAATTATTTAATAGCCTGGTTCTAGGTTTCCATTAACCATGGTATAAATATTGGGGGGGGGGTTGTACTGGCTAGTATTGGTTACCACAAACTACACCCCTGAGTGCAGGAGACCATGAACTCCTCTGTAATGCTGCTGAAAGGGAGCTGCAGGGTGTATTTTTCCCATACAGATCTGTATTACTCAACCTGCGAGGTAGACCGACTGATGTAATCGGCACTTCATATACCAGCAGAGGCCATAGAATCCGTGGCAGGATGCCATGCGGGTATATCAAGCACTTGAACTTTCCAGGCAAACCAGATTTATCAACCCTTTTTAGCCACGTCTCAATCTCACTAATGGATTACTTATATAGCGGCTGTATCTTGGAGGCTGTGGTCAAAGAGCTTTCCGAGACTCTTCACAGGCTTCTCAATTATGAATGGAATTGGGGTGTCCTCCAACATGAAGCGGACCTTGTCTATGACTTTGCCTTTCTTCAGGACAAGTGATCTAGATTTGGCAGGCTTGAAGCTCATTCTTTGACCGCTCGATGACCCTCTCCAGACCTTGAAAGGATCCATCTGCTGCCAGAAACTGAAGATGTTGAGACTGTGAGGTTATCCATATAAGCTCTTATCTGTGGTTGGCACACCCCAGACTTGGACAGCATACCTCTGCACTCCAGTATGGGGTGTAACGATACGATACGGTTCGGTTCAATACGAGACAGTGTCACGGTTTTGTTGTTGTCAATTCAATCAATTGACGAATTGCCACTAATTCGAAAGTGAAAGTAAAATGCGCACATGCATTTACAAGCTATTTAAAAGCAAATAAAACAAGGAGAAGAGGGAAAACCGTAACAAACTGCCTTACCGTCACAACCCTACTGGAGTAGTGTGGTTTTGTTTAGGTATGGGTGAGGCAGATATCCCTTTGCCTGAGACGTCGTTTGGGGTGCCTTGTTGAGCACAGTGGCACTCAAAACATTATATTTCACACACGTTAAGCTCTTTTAATTTCCAAATGTAATAGGATTAGTCCAATGTATCGTTTGGTTTGGAATGAGTACCGAACTGAAATCCCCGTACCAAACTGTTCAATACGAGTATCTTTACACCCCTAACCCTCTATGGGATATCGTCATTTATAAATTAAGCTAAGTAAATTGCATTTAAAATACAATATTAATGTTCAGCCAAGTCAAATGACATCCCCTTCAACCAGTAAAATTTTAATATATATATATATATATATATATATATATATATATATATATATATATATATATATATATATATATGTTCTATTGTAGGTCATGCCATAGTTTCCCATGTACACTTAGAGTAATATTACAGTTAGGCCTAAATTTAGGTTGGTTGAACAACATCCAGTAGACCTAAATGAAAATTCCCTTTTGTCCTTTACAGTCTAAGTACACTTGAACAAGTGCTATCCAGATCTCTAAAATCTCAGTTGGTTTTCCCCATACTCAATCTCAACTGGACTTTAATCTGTTACTAACCTGATGCAGATATGTTGTAACAAGGATATAACGTGACCTACTAGAGTCAATCATTTCAGAGTAAACAGAATCAATTCATATTTAACAATTTATTGTTAGTCAGGTAAATATGTATTATGCCAACTGCATAGTCAACTCAGAGATAATCAATACAAGACATCAAATTCTCAAAAGTAATCTAAGAGTAAAAGATGCATACCTGACTTCAGAAAGATACATAGTATGGAGTGTATGGACACACTCCACACTTCGGGCTCATCTGGCTACAGAAGGCACCTAATCTTCTTGCAACATTTCCTTAAGTACTCAGACCAAGACAAACATCATCCAAATGGAGACAGGAACTAACAATTGGAATCTGCAGTGATCAATGCCTAGACGTACAGAGTTTTGGGGACAGATGGTGATTTGCATGAAACACACTGGGAAAGGACATACCCTCTACAGTAAACAAAATATCTCTAAACTCTTAGGATCTTTATTACCTTTTAGTTTACTTCTTTTAAGATTGAGACCATCATTTTATTGATACAAAACCTGGCTGTGAATATCACTTGCATTCAGGTTGAACATTATATGTTGCTGTTGACCATCCTGCAGGGCTCTCAAGTCTCACGCATTCACCGTAAGAAACACGCATTTCAACCAGTTCACACGCTCTCATGCCACACCTTGTATTTCTCACGCTGAGAAGTAAGGGATAAATTGCCCCACTATACACAATTAATATTACATTTTATTCACACGTTTTAAATATTATCTAGCCTTGTTTTTTATTTCACAGTGTTTTTGTTATGGCACAGACCTCTCTGAGAGGACACTTGACCCCCAAAAAGTAGGTTAAAAAAGTACACAAACACACATTCAATCGTCCGAGCCTAAATCTCTTCTTTTAAACGAAATGAATATAAATAAATTATGCAATCACACACAATATAAAACAAAGCAAAACATATATTTTTAATATATTTAGAACCTTTTATATTTAAACTGTATCATCCCCTAAACCTAAACATCACAATAAACTTTCTACATTTTTATAAACAGCTTTTAAAAAATATAAATCATAATAAATTGTCATTCATTTAAACTATTACTACATATTTGGTTTGTAAGGACACTCCATATAGGTGTAATGATTTTTTTTTACTGTGCAAACTGTACACCCATCCCTCACAGACACAAAAATTTTTTTGCATAAGATTCAATTTTAATTAAATATTGTTTGCAGGAGATCTTAATTATGAGGACTCTCCCATTTTGTCAGACTTTGTTCCATGTCTCGTGTTGTGCTCCAGGTTAAGGTTTATGACCATATTTGTTTTTTCCTTTTCCTATTCCCATTTAGTTCTATTGATCCCAGGTGTGTCCCATTAGTTTCTGTTTATATAAGGTGTGTTTTTCCCCTTGTTTCCTGTCCGCTGTCGAATGTCATTTTGTGTCCTCAGTGTATCCTGTGTCTCTTTATTCCCAGCTTTTGTTGATTAAATCTTTGAAATTTACTTTGTTCCTCATCTCCGCGTTCGTTCCTGTGCTCCCAGTGTGTGTGACGTGACAGAACAGAGGACCGAAACAGTAAGCGGTGCTCCTTCTCCCGTGTTTTGTTTTTGTTTTGAATAGTCCTTTGTTTTCTTTTGTTTCTCCTGTGTTTTCCCCACGGTATGAGAACCGCCCTGCTGTGAAGCGTGCCGGCCGCGCCGTTGTCATGCAAGCTGGCTCACTCCAGCCCACCGGCCACTCAGAAGTCAAGCCCGCTGGCCACGCCGTTGTCATGCATGCCAGCCACGGCTCACTCAAGCCCGCCGGCTGCTCCGAAGACAAGCCCGAGAGCCCGAGAGCTCGCTCTATTGAGGGCTCCTGCTCCCGAGTATAGCCTACGGTGGGCTCCTGCTCCCAAGTATAGCCCACGGAGGGCTCCTGTTCCCAAGTATAGCCCAGGGAGTGCTCCTGATCCCCCGTCGAGCCCAGGGAGGCCTCGGAGCCCAAAATCTTCCCCAATTATTATTTTTTTTGGGGGGTTGGGGGTAGTAGGGCTCCAGCCATAGAGGCCGGGGTGGGGGCTGGGGGCTGGAGCTGGGGCCGTGGCCTCGGAGGCTTCTTTGCCATGGCCTCCTGAACTACCTGCTCAACCGTGGCCTCCTGGACTGTTGGATCCGCCATGGCCTCTTGAGTTCCCTACACCACCATGGCCTCCTGGACTGTCGGATCACCATGGCCTCCTGAGTTCCCTACTCCGCCGTGACTCCCCGAGCTGCCTGCTCTGCCATGGCTCCCCGAGCTGCCTGCTCCGCCATGGCACCCTGAACGGGTATGACTCTGGAGGCCCGCCGTCGCGTGTCTGTCCTGAGGGTCCTCGAGAGCACCTCC